AAAATTTAACATTCATGAGCCTAACAATTATCTGGCACAGTATCTGGTGCACAGTAAGGTCTTAAAACATGTCAGCCAATGGCATGTTTTATTAGTGTTTTAGGCAGAAAAGGTTGTTTTAACTTTATCTAAAGCTTTATCTGTTAAAAAAAAACCCCGTTTATATCGTTCTGCTTTTAGTAACAAATTGGATAGTGCTAAATACAAGAGTTTGATTAAACTGCACAATCTTACTAAATATGCAAGTCTTCTTGTAATGTGATTTCCCAGAAAAAGATGATGTCCCAATGCTTTGGACATGAATCATAGGTTTGCAGAGAAAAATTGTATGTGAAAGCACAGTTATTTTGTCCAATGGTCCATTAAGTATGTGAATTATTCCAGGTTTGAATCGTCAATTTCATAGCATTAAAAATTACATAAAATGCTTTATAAACACTTATAACCTTCAGAGAAAAATTTTAGATAATTAGCAATGAAACGTTATGTTTCATTCATAAAACTTCTGTATTGGTTTTAAGATTAAATTATTTTAAAATGTACTCTAGAAAAATGTGTTATTTACTATATGTGAAATAAGCTATTTGATCAATTTATTTGCAGCTTGAAATTATTCCAGAAGATTTACTGGTATGTTAGTTGTGTTAGTTAATCTTAGGTACATGAAATCCGTTAAGTTAAATTGGTCATTTTTTATAAATGATTCACATGTCATAAAACATAAAAATATAATACACTTTTTTTGAGTGAACAGACATGTAGAATGTAATTGTGTATTTTTAAAAGCCTATACATTATCTAAAATTTAAATATACATTGCTGACACTGTCAGGATAAAAGGAATTTCCATTAGCCAGAATTTTCATAATATATATAGGTTCTACTCAAAGAGGTACTTTGTTTCCCAGATGTTAGTTCATTTTCTGCTTTTTGAACAAAGCTAGTTGTTAGTTATTTAAATAAGAGATTTTAAAGGGTTCTGGAACAACAATTCTGCTATTTCTGCATTGTTTTCATCTTTCCTGGTGGATCGAATGTTTTCTTGGTGTGCTGGTGTTGAGAAAAGGGCATTAATATGAAACTTCTTGTAACCTGGTTGGAGTAAAGCTATTTGGTCTATGCATGGCAAAGGAGATCTCTGTAGGACACAGCTAGGGGGTTAAAAGGTCGAGTGATATTTATGAAGAATAGGTATGGGATGAGAATGATCAAAATCCTGCCTTCGCCCTGGGAAGAACTGCCACTGTGTAGCCATCATCACGTTTTGGCAAGCTAAGATTCTCTTTGCACTGCAATCTCCAAAAGCACATGTTAGGAACGGGCAAAGTGGTATAGCATGCAAATCCTCCTTCTGTCAGCACCAGCACCCCATATAGGCACAACTTCATAGCCTGGCTGCTCCACTTCTAGCTCCAGCTCCCTGCTTATGGCCTGGAAAACCAGTGGAGCATGGCCCAAGTTCTTGGGCCCCAGAACCCAAGTGGGAGACCTGGAAAATACTTCCTGCTCCTGGCTTTGGACTGGCCAGCTCAGGTTGCTGCGGACTTTGGGGAAATTAGCCAGTGACTGAAAGGGGAGAATGCAGCCAGTCTCCAGGTAGCTTAGGCTAAGTGTGTGCTCACAGTCCTTAGGAAGTCCATGATTCATCAGATGTTCTGCGAAATGGTGAGAAAATTAAAATGTCAGGGAAAGAAAAGCTGCCAAAGAGAGAGGAAATGAATCCAGCTCGTTCTGGATCATCTCAGGAAGGCTGGGCCACGCGAGAACCGTCATCTGCTTGCCTGGCTCTGCCATCATCAAGCCAGAGGAGGGAAAGGCACAGAGCAGGTGACTAACCACGCAGCAGTGACGTGTAGCATATGCATATCATGTTATTTACTGATTGCTTATTCACATTTAGCCTTTATTCAGTGCTTCCCATTTTAGAAACCGAACATTTTAGCAACGGGGATAGGTTTCTAAAGGTTCTACTTTTGAGATTTCCACATATATGGACATACATATGGCAAGAATCACTTCATTTCCAAAGGATCTTATAGGTGCATGTGTGCGTGTACTAATACAGAGAAGCCTAGACGTTTATGTCTCTGCCTTCATAGAAATAGGGAACACAGATGATTGTGGAAGAGAAATCGTTATCAGTCAGAAACAGTTAAATGAGCACCAAGTACAATGACAGGTTGGTGAGATCTGTTCTCTACAGCAGATCAGTAAAGAGATCATCGTGTGTTGTTGCTAGGTAAGAATAACTGGAAGGGGAATTTAAATATAGGGAGAACATTAAATAAGTAGGGGCACATCCACATGACAATACACATTAATATATACAGGATATTTTAATAACACAGAGTGAGACAAAAAATACTGCTTTTAAAGGAATTATGTCAATTACTTTAATTCTAAGCAGTGCAATTATGTTATGCTATGTATATTTGGAAAACCTCTTTTGAGGTCTTTTCACTCTGGAAACCAATGGCTACACTAACCCTAAAATGAGTATGGCTAACATCTGTATTATTTCTAATCTTTGTACATGCTCTGAGAAGTTGTCTAAAAACAGCATAGTTTCATTGGGTATTCCTGTTAGCAGGAAATTGGAGCCAGGAGTTTTGTACGAGACTTGAAACCTGCCCTCTGATATACAATGTGGGCCTCTCAATAGGTGTCTTAACCACTAAGCCAAAAGCATGCTGCTACATTATCATTAAATACCACTTCCCGTGAATTGCTTGAAGTACCCCTTTACAAAGCAATTTTATATAAAATAAATGGAATATTCATCTTGTACTGTGATACAAAGTGCTTTTCCTCTCAGCAAGGGTTAGGGTGCTGTGGTCCCATGGCTCAGGCTGCTACATGTGTCTGTTACAGCCCGTATCAGGGCATCATTTTCAATCCTGGTTATTCCATTTTGGACCCATGTTCTTGCTAATGCGCTTGGGAAAGTAGCAGACAATGGCCCCTGCTCCTGTGTGAGAATCCCAGTTGAAGCCCAGGCTCCTAGCCTCAGTGTGGCACAGTCCCAGCTGTTGCAGCCTTTAGAGAGAGTGAAATAGAGGATGGAAGACTTCCTTTCTCTCCCTCTGTCTCTCCTCTGTCACTCTGTGTGTGAGAAACACTGTACTTTCAAATAAGTCTTTTCTAAAGAAAACAAATACGTTAATCTTGTGAAATGATTAACATTGAGATAAAACACTGAGGGTTCAAAATTTCAAGCTTACGAACTGAATGCTAATCTCTGGTCTCAAGTTATTTTGTATTCTTCATTTATTTAATTTAGATAATCTAACTTCTCAGATCAACTCTCTGATGCTAAATACTAAGCTCTTACTGTGATATAATAGCAATTAACTTGATACATCCTATGACAGCATAAAAGTAGGCAAAAAAGTACAACTAGCAAACTTGCTAGTTGCAGCAGAGCATTCCAAATTCCGAAAAAGTGGAATCAAGTCATATTGTGATACATAAATGTTTGAACTTGAAAGATGGGCAGATAACATTTTTTTTTTATCCAGGTACAATTAGCTACTTAACTGAACCTTGGGACAGAAAACAAGCAAAAATTTGAGTATGTATTCCTGCATCAGAGCACAAAACCCTGGTGACAGACAAACCTCAATTTCACATTTATATGGAGGTTCTTAACCAATCTACTAAAGTGTTATTTATTTAAACATTCTAATAGGCAAACTTCTGTAAAATTAGTAGTAAATGAAATAAAATAATGCTGAGAGCAGAGAACACAAAGCCACAAGTAAAAAAAAAATAATAATAAGCCTACATCCAGTAGATACTGTATACTTATGCTCTCTATTTTAAAAGTTGGGAAGTTGGAGATCTTTTCGGCTATCTTTCGTAGGAAAACTTGCATGAAACTTCATGATTTTCACATATGAACAGATGTGCTTCTTGACACAGAATTAACATTACTGGTTTGAATACAGGCTGGTTAAAGTACAGAAAATCAATACAATCATTTATTTAAAATCAAACAAAGCCAAACATTTTATTTTAAGAAGTAAAGTGTGTTTCAAGTTTGATTAAAAAGGGAGTCTTTCTTTTTAATCAAACATATTTTCTCTTAGCATTGCAGTTTTTCTCTTGAGGAATCGATCATTAGAAAATAGAGACTGAGTTACAGAGCGGGACAGGGATAGAGACAGGTTCAAAAACAGAAACACACGTGGAGTTAGAGACAGGTGCAATTGCCCACGCAGAGCTTCGTGCAGACCACCGATGTGAGAGCAACTTTTTAACAGGCTACATTTTAGGAAAAGAAAAATAAACCACTAGGAGGATCACACAGCAGAGTGTCTTACCCTGAAAAACTCTTTAGTGGAGCCGGAGTCTAATGTTCCATAAGCAATTTCTGTTTGCTTAGAAAGATCCTCTGCACTTTCAATGGGAGACACCATCCTCTCTACAGTCAGGAAGGCAGCTAAGTTAGCCGTGTAGGAGGAGATTATGATGAGCGTAAAGAACCACCACACACCTCCAACAATGCGCCCAGAGAGGGATCTGATAACAAGTATGAAATGGATTTGTAAAGTGAAATGAATGACCTAATACAAGAAAACAAGTTAGCAGTACTATGCAAATATTGACTTGTTAGGGAATATTTCGTTCAGTGCTTTTGTATTGTATACTTTTCAATCTACGCACTAGCTAATGAACCTGGGGATTATTAGACGTGTTCAGAATTGACAACGCATCCAGAGGTCAAAATTTCAGACTCCTGGCATTCTTTCGCAGTAATAATTCCCAAACAGTTATGATCTGAAATCCCATAATGAAGCCATTTCAAAAATGAACAAGTAATAATACAGTAAGCATTGTGTTGTATCCACTCATGACATAAGAAAGATGAAAAACGATTAAAGCAGAACTCCCAAAATACTCTCAAACAAAATAAAATATTAAAACGCCAGAAGCATGTACTGCAAGTATAGCTTTAAATGCGAAGAAAATCCTCTGCTTAATTCGATCAGCAAAGCTTCAAAATGCCATTTCATTAGGTTTATGCAGAATCACAGATATTAAAGAAAATATAGAAAAGAAAACAAGAAATAAGATGAAAAATTAAATGGGGCCCAAAATATGATTCTCAATGAATATAAATCAGATGCCTGCAGAGAAGGAACCGTCATGACTGTGTTTCGTTGTATTTCCTGCTTTAAGAAAACCTGAAGAAAATACATTAGACATGTAAATCCTCACCTGGGCTTCGACTCCTACCAGCATTACTGAGTTCATAAATTAATACACACAATACTTTGCAAATGCCTAATAGATTTCCCAATACTGTGTTTTAAAATTAAAGTAGGCAAATACAGAAATGTAGACCCATTTAAATATATGTGTTATAATGTGAATGACTTAGTGGAAATCTGCACATCATTAAATCATTTGAGTAATATTAACCTATAAAATAACTACTTTCTATTGAACTCTATTAAATTTGCTTGAGTAAGCAAATATAAATCAAGAAAATACGGCAAGTGATGGCCTAAACTTAACAATAAGAAAATTAACAATAAAAGGACCTTTTGATAAAAAAGAATTTAAAAACTTTTTTTAGTGTTTATATAATAAACTACGTGAACATTGATAAAAGGGTCAGAAAGCTTCTAATTTTAACAGAGAAAAATCTGAATAAAGAAGTTACTAAATGTGTAGAAACAGCAGAAATAACCAAGCATAATATAATAAACCTTGATCACCATATCCCAAAGAAATATTAAGAATTAAATAAATATGATATGATAGAAAAAAGCCACATGCAACTCACTTCTATTCTGAAATAAATGTATGTTTTTCAAGCAGTCTCTCTCCCAATATGCACTATTTATTGTGTCACAATGAAGTTAAGTGCATGGTACACCTCGTACTTAAGAGACGACTTTGTCCCTGACTGCTCACATCCTTTAGAAGTTGATTACATGACAGTTGCCTTTGACTCTTTACATAGCATGTACGCGTAAGATGTTTAGCAGTCATACTTTACATTTATTTCAGTGATCAAAACAAAGGCAAGTTAAAATCATAAGCTGTCCTCTATTACAGTACTTACAAAGAATTTAATGGAATTAAATGTGCCAATTGATTAAAATGTACAAGATATCTCAGAAAGTGTACTGAAGAGATTAAATCATTCAAGAGTGGAAAGTCCTTAAAGAATTCATTATTTACTTTTGTATGTTTTCAAGTATCCTTTCATGGTTCTGAAAGAATTTCTGAGAATTGTAGGCAGAGAGACAAATCAATTTAATTGTGGGATGACAGACAAAAATGATTTCTATAATTAAAGCCAAACTTTTTAACAAGGCGTAAATAAATGTCTGTATGCTCTTATTCCTTTTAATTCTTGCTAAGAAGTATTTAAAATCTGTACATATTTTTGTGTTCACTTGAGAACTTTAGAGACATTAAGGAAAGAAACAAGCAAATAGGAGAGTATAAATAAATAAAGAAGCTTTCCAGTTCCTATGGCCCTGTTTTTCAAAAACCCTACAGTATAGTTGAAGAGAGTGTAAATTTAAGTTCAGGCAGATATCTAGTTCTAGATCACCTTACAAATATGTTAACTGTAGGGTACAATTCTGTTGTATTTTACTTGCAATGTAATTATAAATAATCTTAAAATATTTAAAAGTTATTGATAAATTCATCACTACACTTCATATCTTTTCAAGATCACAAATGGCTCTGCTCTTTTGGATTACCTGTCTTTCAATTACAAAAATACAATTAATTAGAAATTCTATTTAATTTGCCAATGCTCTGTATCATGTTCAATTTTTAAATGCACATGTAAAATAAAGAATTTGTATCCCTTACTTAAATAAAACAAATTTTGTTCAAATACATTCAAACTTAAAAAAAGGTAGCAAGTAATGTGTTTTCTGAAATCTGTTTATCTCACCAGGAAAAAAAAAATACTACCTATGAAATTGTAGTGAGTCATGATTCATGATTGAAATCAAAAGCAGGGCAAACAGACCTTATCTTTGAAGCTGGCTTGACAAAAACAAGAAGGCATCTCTGTGTCATGGTGGGATGTGGGATAACACAGATGGGTGTGTGTGCTTTGAGCTCTCGCCCCTACATGGGAATCGGCTCCTCAGTTTTTGAAAAGGAGTCACTGTCATGATGCATAGCGAACACAGCAGACAATGCGAGGGTTCTGTCTGCAAATCCAGGCCAATATAGACAGTCTCTTAAATAATGAATTCCTGTTCACTTGTCACCACTAATCCAAAAGACATTGCCTAGTTTATATCACCCCAGGATAATGGGTGACATCTCAGACTTAGGATAAAAATATCTTAGCACAGTTAAACCATTCCCTAGTATCTTTTGAGTTAACATTTTACATGGGACCCCCAATTTTTATTCTCTTCCCCTTATTAATAGAGATGTATCATTATTTCTTTAAGTTAATCAGATAAATTAGATACAGCAACTGAATCTTGTATATTTTGTCAAAGGTGAAATTTACATGTACATACACACTTGCCATGTCAAGCGAATTCCACTGGCGTGTTTAAAGCAGTGCAATCCTACAGAAAAGGCACCAGGGATGTGATAGAACCATGATGTTTTAGATTTACATAAATTTAAAAATTCTCTATCACTGTAACTGCCAAGTCCTAGAGATGGAGCCTTTGAAAATCTCTATTTAATGCATTTCCTTCACCTCTCTTGGTGAAATATGTTAAATAGGCCAGAAAAGAAAAATGCTTTGAGTTCATATAGCGTTTTTTCTTTTAGATTAAAAACTTGACTCACTATTACCAAAAGTGCTCAAGAACTATCAACATAATAAAATCATCTGTGAAAAAGCACCTCCTGTACTAATTAGTAAACATATATGCCTAATAATCCAAGCAAGGTAACCAAGCCCAAATTGAGTTAAACATATACCCCTAAACTAATCAACACTTTGGCTTCAAACATTAATTAACCAGAATGAGCATGAGTTATTCTTCTGAAGTGCCAAATGTGCTTATCATTCTTATCCATATATGTAACACAAGAAAACAATCTGTGCTTTATAACGTGATTCTAATTAGGCATTCCACTGTGGATGTTAACAGATAATGATAACAGAGTGGAGGAGATTATTCCATGATGTAGATGTATGATCATCCACTACGGTTCAGCAATTTGTAATGACTCTTTAGCTTCATAGATGTATTTCTAGATATGTGAATCATACGTTATCACACATTCTTTTTTAATCCAGTAGCTGATTCTTAAAAATAAATCCCATAGTGTCTGTTTCACATCATTTCCATGAGCTAGTGATGGGAAGAAGAGATGAAATGTGTGCTAATGAAGTGTTGCATCGAAAGTTGTTGCTTTTGTAATTACTAAGGAATGTTGCCCATTTTCCCATATACAGGTCTGTGGATCAACACAGACATGACTGTTAATGAGAATATGCAGCAAAAACACGGTACCCCTCCAAGAAGGCATGGAATGATAGGAACCTTATGCATTTTATAGCCTCTCCATGGTGTGTATAATTTCACCAGGGAAATATATGCTCAACATTCAAGGAATATTGCTCAGATATTTCACAGGCTTATGCCGACAGTAAAAGCATGTCCCTTAGATTCCTCGCTTTTGGACAAGGAGCCGGCAGCTGGTTACCTCTTTGCAGTGAATTCATAAACACCATGAATATCCACTTGAGACCTAAAATGCACAAAGTTAAAGCAAGTGAGTAACCAACCTTGGCGAAATATCGCATCCTTGCTGCATAAAGGCACCCAAGGAAAACCAGAGACTATTAAAAATCCCAAATTCATTAGTTGATTCGCTACTTTGGGTTTCTCGTCCATCTTCAAATTCCTCAGTGTGCCACTCGTAGGGGCTAAATCTGCTGACCAGGAATAAAACTACACTGACCCCAATGTAGGCAAAAACAATGCACATCCAGATCTCATAGGCTAGAGGATCGAGAAAGGAAAACACTCCTGGCTTGGACTTCTGAGGCTTCTTGATCATGATAGAGATCCCGAGGCTCATAAAGGGCTTTGAAAAGTCAATCACCTCTTCTCTCACAAGAGTAATAGTTAATGGAGCAATTGCAATGTCAGCTTTCTGCAAGGGAAACAAAGGAAAGTCATAGTATCTGGAGTCAAGTTCACAAAGGAGTCGTTGGTGACATCATTGGATTAAAGTGGAGATCATTACGTTCTTAGTATAGCCCTTGTTAAGAATGCATAAAATGTGGTTTGCTTCCCAAATCTCACTCCTTCTTGTAAATAAATGTCCTACTCACTCGCCTTGACTGTGATTCCCCATCTATCCTGCATCTACGCCTTGCTGCCTTTTGCAGAGGACACTTAGCACATAGACAGCCAGACAGATAAACCAAACACTGCCTGCTAATCTACACGTTTACTTCTGGCTTCAGGTTCTAAAATTTCACAAGGAATTAGGAATTTCTAGAGAAATGTGAAAAATCAAAAACCTCAGACAAACGCTTTGCTGGGAGGGAGTTGGCATTCTGGTCATTGAGTTAAAATTGAACAACTTGATCTGTGTAAAGAGCTATACTTACCCCATAGACAAGTTCTCCAACCATCCCATTCCAAATTTTCGTGTCTGCATCCCTGGCCCCATACTTGCCATCTCCAACTATCGTCAACTTGTACTTGAACCCACAGTGTTTGGCAATTTCTGCAGCCAAATCAACACAGTAACCCTCATAGCGTTCATTGCCTTCGAGCATTTCATGATTTTTCTTCATCATAACATATGGCGATTCCTGAATTGAAAGACAGAACTGAATCAGCTTTAGCCAATTAAAACAGCTGTGCCAGAAAGTAGTATTATTGAACCACATATTCTGATTTAATAATGACCTGATTTAGCAATACACAATGTAAAACCTAGATGATGGACAACATTAACCGAGAAAAATAAGAATGACACTTTTGAAAAGGGGTCCCCAAATACCAGCCATTATATATCACTAGGATGACTTGAAACCATGTATCCTGGAGTAAGTCAGACACTCAAAATCACAAACTGTTAGCTTGTCCTCTTACCAAGCTTGTGGTTGCTGGGCTTTGTCTGGGAGTACTGATACTCAATATGTATTTTACCCAATTTAGATTTTTTCCATAGGTTTATTCTAGGTTCGATTTGCAACACCAAGAACCAGCTTAGCCTGTGTCACTGCTGCCAGAAGTGGTTACATTTGGGAATGAGATTCCTGGCCAGTGGCAGGCAGTCTGAAAGCATCATGGTTGTGATAATGCATGGATTTTATCCTCATGAACTTTAAATTTTGCTTTGTAAATTAAACCAGCCTAGAGTAAACCAACCTAATGCCACAGGTTAGATATAAGCTAGTTTAGCCCAGAAAACCTAAGTGGGAATCAGTAGGAGAGAAAGCGGCTCAACACAATTCAAAATCCTCCACTGTGAAGCGGCACCAATGCTATTTGGGCCTCATTAAGATAGTTTCTTCCACAGCACAATGAAGTCAGAAAATTTCAAATGTATCACTAACTTAAATTTGTTAATTCATTCTTAGGTACGTACTAGTGTTTGCATCCAAAACCCTTATTAGCCTGTATATATTTTGAGATCAACATCATTAGGATAATGGTTCCCATAAATAAACTACCTCACTGCTAAGTAAACAAAACTAAGTTGCTTTGCCACAAAACCATGCCCTGTAGTGAACTTTGCTTTCCCCATTTAATTTTACCAACAGAAGTTGGTGATGATTCACGTCTTTTTTGCATCTAACCAAAGCCTAGGTGTTCAGGATGTAACCCAATGATACCCCCTTCCACTAAATACTGCATTTATTGTACAATGGCTGCATGCCAGATCATGTGTTAGAATATCAGGTAAAAAGAGGGGCAATAAATTATCCTCATCTGTAAGGAATCCAACTTGTATTATGAAGAAAAAGAAGTAGCCGATATTATTAAACCTGAATTGAAAGAATCTATTCAGAGACGTAGTGTGAAGAGGATAGACCCCTCAGAGTCTATTAGCAGGAGCATGCATACTCATTTTAATACAGTACTGGACTAAGGTTACATTAGATGAATAAAATAATGCAAATACAGTCCTAGAACTTAAGTGTCAGCTCTCCTGAGAAGATAATTTTTACAATCAAAAATGAAGAACACAGTTGTTGGTAGCTAAATTTACCAGGATTGTGGTGACTACAACAGTCTTATTCTCCAGTCCCGAGGTGTCATTTCCGGAAGGAAGTTCAGTCAACGTGACCACCATTTTGTCCACCTCACTCCAATAACCAATCTGAAAGACACACACAGCAGGTAGATACGTGTGCAAATCACTCCACACACAGGAAAATAAGGGGTTATTTTTTAAACTTACATTTGAAATCAAAACCACGTGAATTGGACTTCTAAACAGAAATCTGTCTCATCTATTCATCTATAAGTCCATGTATATTTTTGTGTAAAACCAAGCAGGCATGGAACCATGGAACAGAGCTAAGAAAAATAGCAAGCCAAAAATAATTCTTTAAATTGTATCTTCATGTCCACCTTTTCACATTTTCCAAGAACAATCCATTTGAAAGAGATCATAGAGAAATATAAACAAAATCCAAACAATGACATTTAGCCTTGACAGTTAGAAGGTGCTGAACTGAACAGTTCCTTGGTTCATTTGAGCAGTTTTCTTTATTGTTCTGAACATCAGCCTTTAGCAATAATTTGTTCCCCTTGTCATTAAAGTCTTTTCCCACTCTAGTTGTATAGCCGTTCTACTTACAGTTATTGCTAAGATGATATTTCAGTGATACTTACAAGAAATGAATAGGCTTGCTTTAGAAAATTATTTTCAAATGCATCTGTTTCTGATGGTTTTTAAAGTCTATCTGTGAAAATCCTCTGCAAGTCACTCTTGAAGGGGAAGATGACAGGTGAGGAGATCCCTGCCACTAAGTCACTAAGGATTTACCTTTCGGGGCCCATTCGTTTTGAGTTCCATGATGTTAATTGTATAGTTTATTCTTTTTCCGTTCTGGTCAAATTTTATATTTCCTGATAGGCCTTCCACCTGAACCTAAGGAGGAAACACAAAAAAAATCACAGGATTGTGGTTTTCTCACAACCAAGATACAGATTGTACAGACCACTGTTTCTGGGGTCATGTCAAGAAAATGACACAGATCAGTTCTCTCTTCCCTCTTCAGACTACCTTTGTGTTGTTAGGTAGCATGTTAAATATAAGAGATAAAATAAACATGACTAATAGCGCCTGGAAGACGAACCAAGAATCCTTATACGACATCAGCCCTCAGCTCCAGTTGAATGACTGACCTGTTTGAGGGCCCTCTCGATCTCCACACCCTGTCCCCAGGGGACCGCGGGGTTGGCCAAACAGTCGCCTGCATTGCCCCTTCGAGAGATTTCTATTCTTTGCTTCCGGAGGTTGCGGAAAGCCTCTGTCATCACTTGAACGGCATCGTAGGTCAGAGCAGACGTGTACTAGAAAGGATCACACACTTTCATAAGAACAGGACAAAGTTGAAAAACTCAGTGATGATGCATTTAACTCCGCAGTTGCTCGCCATCAAGTACTTGGAAACCTTCCAGGCTCTAACCACAACGTCTGCTTCTAGAAACCCAAGAATCCCAAGAATCAAAGACAAGTGGCCAACTTTTCTATTGTGTTAATATCAGCCATTTCAAGTGAGAGCTTTTATGGTTATTGCATCAATATCTCAATTAGAGCATCAGGTCATGAAATGCAATGACAATCTTCAAATGATCAAATTAGAAACAATTTATTCAATGTCCAGAGGAATTTTCTCTAGTTCATCTGAAAAAAAAAAAGTCTCAGGATCGTTGTCTCTAATTCAATTCTGGTATTGCTACCAGACAAGTATGTCTGCAGTAGTCTAGGGGGTTTATTTCAGATCCTGAGGTGACTCTGCTAATCATGGAAAAGAACCATCAGACCTACTGCCCTGCATGCTGTAACATCCTATGCTGATGCCAGTGTCGTGGAAAAGCAGGTTAAGCTGTTTGCTGGGCTGATCTGAAGCTGCAAGACAGAAATTCTGTCCAGGTTCGTCATGTGGGTGGTAGTCCAACGCTGAGAGTTAAGTGCTTCTTCCAGGTCTTGTGACGGGTACAGGGGCCCAAGGCCTTAGGCTGCCCTCCTTTGCTTTCTCAGACCATCAGCAGGGAGCTCGGTTGGAAGTAAAGCAGCCAGGAGTAGAACAGGTCCCCGTATGATTTGTTGACATTGCAGGCAGAGGATTAGCCTGATAGGCTCCCACACTGGCCTGCAATATTACTGTATTTTAAATTACTTCTACTTAAGATTCAGTGGGCAAGCTTGAGTGTTGCAGCAAGGCAGCACTCGGGGTACTCACATCCCATATTAGAGAGCCAGGGTTCCTGTCTCAACTTCTCTCCCTATTCAGGCTTCCTTCTCATGGGTACCCTGGGAAGTAACAGTTTGTGGCTCACGTCCGTGAGTCCCCGCCCTTCACTTGCAACAGAATGGAGATCCTGGCTCCTGGCTGCAGCCACTGCGGCCATTTAAGGAGCAAAGCTGAAGCTCTCAGTCCTTGCCTTTGTCTCTCTCCCTGCCTGTCAACTCCCGTTGTTTCAAAAAGAAGAAAACAAGACCAGGAAGAGAAGGAGGAGGAAGAGAGGAAGAGGAGCAAGAGGAACAAGGGGAGAGACAGCAGAGAAAAGACTTTTTAAAGAGAATTAGGCTATGTCCAATCAGAATAGATCTACTCCACAGACTTATGTTCCTGTTTTCTAAGAAGGAAATTGCATTGGTCAGTTTGCTTTCTTATAAAGCAATCAGCTCACTGCCACTGAACCTAAATGGAATAAGGTGAATGTACAGGGCTCACACTGGGACTCAGCGTGTTGTCGCAGACTGCAGCGCTGGCATCTCATAAGAGTTCTGGTTTGCGTGTCCACTGCTTCATTTCTCATACAGCTCCTTACCAGTGCCCCTAGGCAGAGCAGCAGGAGATGCCCCAAATATCTAAATCCCTACCACACAAAAAGGAAATTTGGTTGGCAGGCTCCTGGAATTTGATTGTTTCAGCCTTGGCTGTTGCAGCCATTTGGGATGAGCCAATGGGATCTCTCTCTCTCTCTCCTGTTTGTCTTTCAAATAAAAAAAAATGAATAAAAATAAATACTAAAAAATTTTAAAACATATTAACAATTTTCATAGTTGCCAAAATCCCAAATCGTCACTGAAGCACTTTGTGCACATCACCAGAAGAAATCGACAGTGTCATCTTCTGAAGGCTGTGGGGAACGATGAGCGACAGGGCACCGTACTAAAAAGCAGGATTCCGTTTAATGGACCGAGACCACCAAATCCACACAGCACATGATGGTGATGACTCAGAGCATGGACATACAAAAACGGCCTTTCAGCCTTTGTCAGATGCCCAAATCCAATTAAGACACAAGCCCATTCTCATTTTAAATTAAAAATCACAATCACAGAAACACAATTTGAGGCTGAAAGGAAATCAACTGCTTCTGGATCCAGAGCTCCTTCTCGTCTATGTTCTGTGCATGTGGCTCTTTGGTTTTTCTAAAGAAATTACGTCCACATCTTTTGATTGGGTAGTTATGCTCTAGCATTCCTGGAAATGGACGCATATTATTTGGAAGGAAACATGATCCTCTTCACTGGAAACAAACGCCTTATCCCTGCGCCTTTGTGTTTATGGTCTCTGAAATCCCTCAGCTGCGCTGGTCATTCATGTTTCAGAGAGGGGGTATTTAAACTCCGCAGTGCCACATTCTCATCACATCACATCCTCCCACAGAGAAGAACCCTGGGGAAATTGCTCATATAGTCCATTTTCCAAATTTTTAAAATTTCATTTAAAGCTTGTATTTTTATGGAGACTTGCTTTTGTACTATAAAAATCAAATACACATTGTAAACATGCATGTTATATTGAAAAAGTACTAGCCAGGCCATTTAATAATGCATTTGTGCAACTACTGATGTATCAATATCAGTACTGGATAACTGCTGGATCGGTACTGCAAAGTACTTTTCTCTCTCTCTCCCTCTGTTTTGTACGCAACAGATGTGAAAAAAAAAAAGTTCTGTATAGCTCAAATTTATGACATAAGAATGTCATAGAAAATGGTATGGTTTATCAAAATGATGACTTTTTTCCTAAGCATGTTGTCTACATCATAACAAAATAAAAAATATATAACCAAAAAAAGAAAGATTAAGCTTCAGATACTTTGAAGAAGTTACCAGATATGTTTGAATTTTGAAGTTTGTTTACTCTGGGTTAAAAAGCGCTGCATTTGGCATCACATGGCAGGTTCAAGGCCAGATTTTATCATTTTCTGTTTTGTTGTCCTGGGCTACTTAACTAATGATTGCTGGTGAAGTGAGCAAAACCAGGTCTCTGAGACGATTGCCGAGGAAAACAGGAGGAGTGAGCCCAGCGTGCCCTCTCCATCCGGCAGCCAAGCTGAGCCGTTGGCATCCTCGTACTGCCTTTGCAACTCCATGGAATATATTTTGATTCCAGTTTTTGAAGTGAAATTTCCAAGTCATAAAGTTTTATATGATATAGTTCGCTGCAAGTTTTGTTTTCCAAAGGATGCGGCATATGGGATTTGAATCTATAGCTCTGTGATTCTGAAGCAATAAATGACAACAACTGCTCAGCCAGCAAGGACTATTTGATTTGGAAACAGAGTTTCAGGCAACTCCCCATTCCCTGGCACACCAAGAAGGCTGGCCATCTAATTTAGCAAATGCCAAAACAAATCAGTGGATGTGAGAAGCTTGACTAGTTCTAAAACATGCTAAAAATGTTATTATTGATCATTAGATTTGCTTTTAAAAATTATTATTTCTACCTGTCTTGATGTTTGATATTACAATGCTTCGATACCAGCCAGTCTACTGTTCCTGATATTCAGAAGTCTGTATTCTATCAGAAATGGCTTTTCAAGTTGGTCTGTAATATTAAAAGCTCTGAGAATTTTTACAGTAAAAACTCAGCTTATATAATCAGCATTTCCCAAACTAATCATTCTCTAAATTTTTCTCTAATACCCATTGCTTTCCATAAAAGCAGGCTTTCGTTTGACATACACTGAGATGGTGAATATTTTGTGACCAAGTAAATATTACATACTCATTTCTAAGAAAACAGCAATTATTTAGTTAAAATTATACATAGAAGGATATTTCTCAAGAGGATATTATATAATAGAAATCTCAATTTTTGTTTTAAACAATAATTATCACTAGTTTAAACAATGATGATATATATAGCAAGAGTAAGTAAATTTATGAGAAAAAAACTTAGGGAACCTTGTACTTATTTTTAGTTCCTAATAATCACCAAGAATCAGATCCAGTAACAGGAAATGAGGATGTGAGAAAATACATTATAAATTTAAAATTATTCACTTGTCTTAATTTTAAATTCAACTGCAGTACACCCTGCAGAAAAGAGCTGTCTGGGATAAGGTCATCTTTAATTTACTGGAAAGCGTTTTAAACATGTGCCCTTTGAAATCTCACTGCCAAAAGGCACAAAATCCTCATAAAAAGGACGCAGCTTCGCTAAGGATTCCAGCTTTACCCCACTCCCCAAGGGTGAAAGAGTTCCATGGGCATGAAACCAAACTCAACACCCTTTATTATTGTCAACACATACTCAAAATAATTTTCATCTGTGGTAAAAAAAATCTTTATTTCAAAGGAATATATTTAAAATTTAATATTTTGACAATTTATCCTGGGTATATTGACTTTGACTGAAAAGATCTTTGCTTAGGGTCAACACTTACATATTCAGAAATCCTAAATTACATAAGTAGTCTAATTTTCAGAGTAAGAGGATAATATTCACCAGAACAGGGGGCAAAAAGTATGTGCTGCAGTCTGGCTTGCATTCAGCCATGGGAAAAGGCATTTGTTGGCGGTCATTTCTTTGCCATGACTCTCTCCGACTTCCTACACACCTTCTAACAACCTGGAAGCCCTCATTTTTTTTTTCTCTTTTCCCATGAGAAACAAAACACCAACAAAAGAAAACTACGTATTGTTCCAGGTAATTTAGGATGTAATTTTGGAACCTGCGGATCAGTAATGTCTTCCAGTTGGCCACTACACGCTGAGCCCCAGGACCCCCCATGGTGTCAGGGAGTCTGCTGAGATGTGAAACACGTTTCACTGGGTGATTAACTTGTCAGTTCCAGAAGTCACAACATTACAGACAGGAGAAATTGCAGCCGTCGCCTACCCTTCCCTTTCCAGGAAAAGAAATGTGAAAATGAGCTCAGGTTTCAAACACTTTAATTGTAAATATTAAAAATGCATCTTATTGTATCATCTTAATGGTGGTCTACTATATGCATCTTTGTATTAGTTTTTGAAGTATATAAAAGTTTACAGCCAGCAGTTTTTTAACATAAGGATTTATTTATCTGTCCTGTGCACACCTCAAAAT